CTCTAGGGGCGACCTTTTCGTTTTTCTCTCTTTCCCTCTCGCTTTCGTTTCGCGCTGCCCGCGCGCTGACTCTGTCCTGCTCTCTGCTCTCCCTCAGGACCTCGCACGGCGCCGACGGCCCCGCGGAGCCCCGCCACGATGGGCAGCAAGGCGCTGCCGGCGCCCATCCCGCTGCACCCGTCCCTGCAGCTCACCAACTACTCCTTCCTCCAGGCCGTCAACACCTTCCCCGCGGCCGTGGACCAGTTGCAGGGGCTGTACGGGCTGAGCGCCGTGCAAACCATGCACATGAACCACTGGACGTTGGGCTACCCCGGCGTGCACGAGATCGCCCGCTCCGCCCTCACGGAGATGGCGGCCGCGCAGGGCCTGGTGGACTCGCGCTTCTCCTTCCCCGCGCTGCCCTTCGCCGCGCACCTCTTCCACCCCAAGCAGGGCGCCGCGGCCCACGTCCTCCCGGCGCTGCACAAGGAGCGACCCCGCTTCGACTTCGCCAACCTGGCGGCGGCCGCCACGCAGGAGGACCCCCCGAAGGCAGGGGAGCTGGGCAAGCTGGGCCCCGGACTGCCGTCGCCCCTCTCGGGGCTCAGCAAGCTGTCCCCGGACAGGAAGCCGTCGCGGGGCCGCCTGCCCTCCAAGACGAAAAAGGAGTTCATCTGCAAGTTCTGCGGTCGCCACTTCACCAAGTCCTACAACCTGCTCATCCACGAGCGGACCCACACGGACGAGCGGCCCTACACCTGCGACATCTGCCACAAAGCGTTCCGGCGGCAGGACCACCTGCGGGACCACCGGTGGGTGGGCGGGCGGGCGGGCGGGGGGCGGAGGGGGCGGCTGCTCTCGGAGCCCCGCGGGGCGGGCGGCGGGAGCCTCCGCTACTCTCAGAGCTGAGCGGGCGGGAACCCCGCTTCTCCTCGGAGCCCCGCGGCCCCGGGGAGGGTCGGTCGGGAGCCCCGGTCCTCCTCAGAGCCCCGAGGCGGATCGTGCGGGAGCCCCGCGGGCAGCAGGACGGGCTGCCGCCGGCCTCGCGGCTCAGCGCGGCCCCGGGTGGGGAAGCGGGGCGGCGTGCGGGTGCCGCGGGTGCCGCACGTCGGGCGGGAGAAAAGCGTCGGGAAGCACGGCCCGGCGCTCAGCCCGCGCTTGCCTTGCAGGTACATCCATTCCAAAGAGAAACCCTTCAAGTGCCAGGAGTGCGGGAAGGGCTTCTGCCAGTCCAGGACCCTGGCGGTCCACAAAACGCTGCACATGCAGGTGAGCCCCGCGCCGCCCGCCCTGCTCCGCGCGGCGCCTCCGGCCCGGCGCTGCCTCGGGGACGGGGAAGGGGCTCTGTGAGAGCCGGGCGGGAGGGGGACAGAGCCGCGCTTCGGGCGCTCTCCGCGCCGCGGCGTCGGGGCGGGTTTCGTTGTCGGGAGCGCGGCGCGGCGCGGGGCCGGGATCCATTCCCGACGCTTCAGCCGTGCGTTGTGGGATAGCGAGAAGCGCAGTGCTGCGCGAAGTCAGGTAGTTTGTAAAGGATTAATCCTTTGCTTGCTTCAAATCTGAACAGGAATCTCCACACAAATGCCCCACATGTGGAAGAACCTTTAATCAGAGAAGTAACCTGAAAACTCACCTTCTTACCCATACAGACATCAAGCCCTACAACTGTGAGCGGTGCGGCAAAGTGTTCAGGCGAAACTGTGATCTACGGCGGCACAGCCTGACGCACACCCCGCGGCAGGACTTCTGAGCGGCGCGGAGCCGCAGCTGAGCGCTGCGTTGCGGAGCCGCGGCCGTGCGCGGGGCCCCGGGGCGGTTCGTTGGCACCGCGCGTCCGCCAGAGCCGCCCCGACGTGGGGTTGGGGGGGCTGCAGGATCGGGCCCCTCTCGGCCGCCCTGCTCCTGTAGATATCGCGGCTCATTTTAGAGCTCTGTACAGAACTTGGTTTTAGTTTGTTCGTTTCGTTTCGTATCGTCGTGTCCGATGCACATTGATAACGGATCTGGGAGGTGAAGTATCTCTTGAAAATGTATTTCCAAATAAATCCCCCCCATTCCCTTTATTTTTTTTTTCCTTTTATTTTTATTTTTATTTTTTTTTTAAATTTCTTCCCCAAATACCTCCTGCCTGGTTGTATTATTCTCGGAGCATTTGGGCTTTTTTTTTCCCCGCTGTGTCGATGCAATGGCGAAGCATATTGAATAAATTTCCCTGTCGGGTCATTGTACTGTCACAACAATTTTGGTGATCGCTTTTGTTTGGCTGTTTCGCTGTTGCTTTTGTGTTATCTATTGTTAAGTAAAATGAAAGTGCCGGATTTCAGAGTTTATAGCTCTATTACTTAATACTACGAATGTCTAAATATTAACTTCTGTACTTTTATTATTTTCCCGGACGAAATACTTTTATTTTTTTCTAAAAAAGAAGAGAAAGAAAGAAATCTTCGCAAATAAACAGATCTGAGGAAATAACGCATAAAGCCGTTCTTACACCAAAGCGGCTTATTAGTAACTTATTTGCGATCAGCCCACTATTGTAAAAGTCATCCCGTCGTGGCGATTGCAGGAGACGGTCCCCTGCCATTAGACTTTGGCCACGGGCAATTCACCCGCGCAGACAGGGACTTTATCCCGCAGAAGACGATTCACTGCGGGCCGCCCGCGAGCAAACAGAGCGGCGTGAACGCCGGCCCCCGCCCGGGGCTCGGCCCGCACGGCCCGGCGGACTGAGGGCCCGCGGAGCCCGGCACAGGGCCTGCAGCTTCCCGGGGACCCTCGCGCCCTGCGGGAGCGTCCGCTGCATCCCCCTCCGCCCCGGCGGTGTGACCTCCCGCTCCCTCCTTCCCTCGGGGGCGGTGACCTTATTGTGTCCGCCGGAGCTCAGAGTTCCAGGCGCTGTTCTTTCCCAGGCTGAGGACACCTGTCCTGCCCTACTCCTCACCCAGACTCCGATCCAGGTGAGGATAACCAGGAGAAACCGTCCCCAGTGAGCTGTGACCCAGGGCAGGATATCGTTCCTGCAAGGGTGGGCTCCGCTCCCAAGCTCCGCCGTGTCAGGGATCCGCGGCGGGCTCCCTGCTGGGGACAGGTGCCCTGGACTCACAGCAGACGGATGCCCTTGGGGTGTCCTTCTCCCTATCCCTCCCAGGTCCTGCAGCAGAGAACCCTGTGAACGGAGTCGAACCCATCAGCACTTGGGCTGCAATTGGGCCACTGGGGCTGTAAATGTTGCGTTGTCTCTGTCTGCCACCCCACAGATGGCCCCACGCCCCATGTTCAGAGCCACTCTGCCCCAACTGGGGCAGTCAGGTTAGCTCCCATCCAGATGCAGCTCTATGCTCAGCTGAATGTCCTGTGGTGGGCACGGGCTGGCTCTGCATCTGCTCCTGTCCAACAAGATGGGGAGGGAAAAAATAGTCCCTGCAAGCCAGAAATACTGCTTTGCTGGCTGGAGGACAGCAGCCCTTGTTAAAGTGAATTTAAAGGCCATCTGCTCCCTTCCTCTTCACACCCCAGACTGGGGGTATTGCTGGGACATTGCACCCCTGAAACACTCAATGCTGACGGCCTTTGCCCCCCATCCTCCCAGCACCCTAGTCCTCCCAGAGCTCCGTGGGGCATCCCTTGCCCCTGCTCTGCAGGCATCTCCCCAGTACCACAGCTCTTTCCATTGGACTGATTTTTCTATTCCCAGTGCGTTCCCACTCTCCAGTAGGTTACTTCCTCCGAGTTGCTGTTCCCTCATTGTTCTCTGAGTTCCTGTCGCCAGGCCTCTTGCATCCCCAGCTCTCAGCCCCGAGCACACAGTGGGGCTGGGATCACTGCTTGCAGAGCACACTGTCAGGGTGCGTGTGGGCTCACACTGCTCCCGGGCCAGGCTCTGTGTGCAGTTTGTTTGGAAAGAACTTAATCAGCTGAACGATATCAAAGGACTACATTAAAATGATTGCATATATCTAAGGTTCTACTTAATTGTTTGGGGTCTCTCTTCTAGCAGTCTCTCCCCAGAGCAGATGCAGGCTGTACGTTTATCTCCTCAGGATTACGAAGTTCAGCGGGCAGAACAAAGACCGAAGGGCTGAGCAGGGGCAGCCACAGCGATCTCCAGCAGCCAGTCCCTGGGCTGTGTTTTACACTGAAACCAGTAGCAATGATCTTAAAACATCAGAGGATGATTTAGGGTTTCTCCTTTAACATCCATATATTTTCCTACGGTACTGACATGCCTCATTCACTTTTAAAAGATTATCTCTTGTTGGGAAATTTCAAAGACAGCTATAAAAGGTAGTTACAATGTATATATGGTTCATTGTTTTTAGAGCTGTTGGGAAGAGAAACAGGTTCTGTACAGCTATCTCTGGGGCAGGGCTGGTTTTCTTACAGCCATAAAGTGCCATCCTGCATTTCCCAATGCAAACACTAACTGCAATAACAGCCCTGTTACTGCAGTGTAGTTCTGGAGCTCTGTTCCAGCACACTGCCACTTGTCCCCAAGCACCTGCCCCTCTCCTCTACCTGTCCCTCTGCCTCTCATTGTCCCTTTACTTCCTCTTCTTTTTGCCCCTGTTCTGGCGCTGCTTGCTCTGCCCCTTTGGCCACGTTATGGACAGCAGGCAGCTGTGCTGGGCAGCAAACAGGAGGGGAGAGAACACAGCAGGTAATAAGATACTGCGGCCATAAGCTCTATTTTGGAGGAAATATCAAACAAAAAAATTATAGTCCTTGGAGTTACATCTGCTAGAAGAGCTCTCTGCACATTAGATGCTGGGATGAGTGCTGTTGCAGCTGACGGCAGAGTGGCTCCGTTCAGCAATGTGTGCAGATTCTTTTCTGCATGGGCTTCTCCCACACAGCACCCATTGCCCACACGACTCCACACCAACCCTCCCGTGGCAGCATAGCCTTTGCTGGCAGCACATCTACTGTGTCTGTCCCACCTCAGCAATACAGAGTCACACAGAACCCTAGAACGGCTGAGGCTGGCAGGGCTCTCAGGGTCCACTTGGCCCAGCCCCCGCTCCACCTGGGATATCTGGATAGTCTGGAGCGGGGGAACCAGGCCCACATCCAGGCAATGTTTGGATATCTCCAGGGAAGAGATCCCACAACCAAACACTGCCCAGATCTAAATGGGGACAACTTAGTAGTGCCACATGCACAGCACTATTTGAATGAGTTCACCTCCTGTGAGAAGATCATGTCCCAGTCTGCAATTCATCGAACTCCCTCCCATCCCCTTCCATTTGTGAACCCACCCTTTTCAGCCTTGTTGCCTCCTTCAGCTCCAAGCTCCAACAAGTTCCCCTCCCTTCTCTTGCACACATCTCTCAGTCTTCCTCTTTCCTGCTCTCCCCAGTGGATGCCACATCCCAGTGGAGTGAGTGTGAGTGAGTGCAGGTCCCTCAGGCAAACCCAGGCCACTACAGTGATACCAGCTCTGGCACAAAGCCATCAGCACGGTCCAGTGATCCTGCAGGTCAAGAAGAGAGAAGCTTTGAGGTGAAGAAGAAACACTGAGTGCGAGCCTGCAGTGTCAGGATGGAGTCAGGCAGCCAGGCTTCACTGGTGGGGCAGAAGTCCCAGCAGTTCTGTGCTCATAGTTTTACAGCCACATGCACGTTTTCATGTGTAGAAGGGTGACTTCGTTTGCCAGCTATGTTTCACAATGTTCAGGCTAATGCAGCTTTTATATTAATACCATGCTATGTTTCCAGCTTACAGTGCCTTCTCACAGCATCTCTTTTCCTCTCTGCTTACAGGAGCTCTTACAGCTTCCTTTCCTATTTATAAAAGTATAATCAAGACAAACAAGAGGTATCTATTAAGCCAAACAGCTATTTTGTTGAAGTTACTAAATACTTAGACCCAAAAACATTTGTTTATATATAAGGGGATGGCAACTGCATAAAGCATGCATTTTAATCTCAATTTTAAAAAATCCAGTGCAGCTGTTTATTCATGAAACTTTGCAGAAAAGCTTTAAGACTGTGGAACAAGACATTCAAAAACCTTTATTCCAAGAGAATTAAAAAAATGAGAGGTGTAGGCTTCCCTCTTCCTCCCCAGGATGCTGAGCACCACTAGCAGGGTGCAGTATGCAGGCAAGTGGGATTTTCTGATGAGCAGACCATGGCCTGAAGGTCCCAGCACAGTGGCCTCACACCTCCATCCCCATGTGGCTAAATGGGGTCGTGCACAGCTGCCTGTCCTGGTGAAAGTGCAGTGCTGTCGGTGGAATGCTGCTTCTCCTTTTGTCAGCACAGGGATGAAACAGAATATAGATGGACTTGAGTCAGCAAGGAAGGCACTGGGCAGTGCCCTGGCCATGCAGGAGCATCCAAGCCAGTTTCCAGGCCTTGGTGGCCCATCTGTCACTGCCGTGCTCTTAGTGCGACTGGGCAACAGGATGGTTTCTTTTTCCCTGAAATTCTCCTTGGATCCAGAGAGTGGCTCCATCGCCTCACAGGGCTGCAGGCTGATCTGGGAGAAGGCTTCAAACCCCACTCCTTGTGCTTCCCCTCTGTACAGAAGTGCCCTGGCCTTGTGGCTTTGAGAAGGAGCCAAGTCACCTTGCATAGAGCAGAGGGATCCAGCGCTCTGCACTCTGCCTCACCCTCCATAGTGCCCCAGCTCCTGCTCTTTGGCATTTTGTTGCACCACAGCTCTCTTGTGAGGGCTGTCCTACATGTTAGGGCATTCTGGAGACCTTCATCAGAAGAAGGAGGCTGATTGATTGATTGATCGATTGTCTATTT